AGGCATAAGCTGGGGAAAACCAAACTTTACAAAAGTGGGGAGGGAGGGATGGATGGATGGATGGATGGATAACATGTAATACTGAGCAAATTCTGGAATGAAACATTCTGGAAAAGTATCTGGTTGGCTTACACTATGCTGCAAAGTTTTATTGTTTATCTCACTTGTCACATGTATACACAACAGAAAAGACTATAAGGAATGATTCTGCTTCAGCATAGTTATTGATGGCTGTTATCTCTAGCATTTGTTAAGGAAGTGAATAATAAATATACACTGGATTGCAGTCTTAATGTAAATGTAATGTTTTGTAAAGCAGTGTGCATGTTTTTCATGTTTTTATTTTGAACCTAGAACTTTTAAACTGTCCTTTGCATTTTACACATTTCAGAATTTAAAATAAGCTGAATATGTTTTGCTGAATTTTATTAAGACAGGAAAGGGGACAGCTTGACAAAATTATGCCAATCTGAAATTGTAAAGGACAAATTAATTAAGCAAATAGCAGTGCAGCAGAGAATAATGAATAGTGCATGAGAATAGCAAGCATATTCAAAACTGCAGGTCTAAAGATCATTGCAAATATTAAAAGAAATTCAGAAATGAAATATTCAGTGGATATTTAAACAGTAATTAATTAAAATTAAAATAATTGTAAATTGTTGGGCAAGCCTCTCTATGGCAAACATTTCATAATTCAGATGTCTATTGATATAAGGTGGCTCACAAATAGCTTAATAAATACAATAAATCAAAAACTGAGTGGCCATAAGTAAAAAGGCTCTAAATTTATGCTCTACCCTTTGGTTTTAGAACCTGAGGAGCTGAGTTTCCTTAGGTTTCCAACCAGATAGAGCTTTTCAGGTCAAAATGTGGGCCTGGAAATTAATTAGAAGGCCATAAAAAGGAAAAAAAAATCGTACAGTATCACATATCCATGCTTGCTCCCTATAAGATCTGCTGTATTTTGCATCATCTTAAATGTCTGGATTGTCTTCAAAAGCAGCCCCACAGCTGGTGATGATGGGCTTTGTAATCCAATTTATTTAGAAAGGCCAGGTAGGGGAAGACTATGCTGTAGTAATCTAAATGGGTGGTTACCAAAGCATGATTCATGGAAATCATCAAGTCCTAAGAAGCACTGTTACCCTGAAGAAGCAAGAAGGGAGTCTGAGAAATATTTCAAACACACTAATTACAGCACTTTCTGACTCTGAGAAGTGTGCAGAAACCCTTTCTGACACAAATTATCTAGACAGCATGTATGTTTAATGCATAAACAGCCCATTCTGATGAATTTAGTTCTATATAACAAGTCATTAAAGTATGATTTAAAATAAATTTGATTCCTAATTTTACAGAACTCTTTTCAGGAATCTGCAATCACATGGTTGGATCTTAAGTGAAGAAAATCAAGATTTTTGTTTTTATTTTTAAATGAGAAAGATAGTAAAACTATCTTTTTCTGAAGTTAAAATCTCTGGTGCTTGCAAATCAAGTATTCTAACCACTGAGTTATGGTCTTTCCCCAAAAGTCTACACTTTTATTATCATGGTATTTCAGCTTTTCTTCTGGCTTCAGTAAATGAACAATCAGTTCTGTATTCTTCTTATGGATAAAATAGCCACACATGACTGACAATTTTCTATCATGGTACATCAAAGCTGCAGTTTGAAACCAATGAACAGTTAGCTGCACATCTTGTAATTTAAGAGTTTCACTCTAAAAATATAAATATCGTCACATTTTTATTAAGTTGCACTGTTCTCAAAGGAGCTTACTCCTTTGTAAGTATATTTAGGAATGCATCTTAATCAACTTTTCTGATATCTGATACTTGTGGCTGCATTACAATCATTTTATGAAAAGCAAGTGTTCTTAAAACTACATTCAACAAAATTATTTCCTGCATTAAAGAAAAAATGTGGTAAACATACTTGATCCCCAACTATTATTCAAAAATCAGTAGGGCTGAGCTTCAATGTTTATCAGATGAACAGCCTTCTGCACCTTATGAAGTTAAATACAAGTGCTTAAAAATAGTTGGATCCAAAATTTGACATCAGGAGGTCTACACTGTGGCATAACAATGTATCTAACAACTGACCTCCACCACCATCTTAAAGAAATCTTCCCTCTTTGGACTGACATGGGTAGGAGTCCCTCTTTTGAGATCTGCTGTAAAAATGTATGCAGATTATTAATCAGAAATTGGTTTTCACTCCCTTCAGAATGAATTTATTCATGTGTAAATGAATGTAGATTTACTGCATTGGTTAATCAGTTGAAAAATCTCATGAAGTTTCTTTAATCGGAGATATCCCTAATTTCCTTCTTTGGAACGAGGCTGTGGAACCCTTCAGTCCCGAAATTGTTTGATTTACAAACACTGGTTTCAGAATGCTACTTCTTAACGCTGTGTTGTAGCTGTTTAAGGCTCCTGATCATTAACCTGGATAAACTCTTTGCTCTAGAGTAACTATTTTATTCTAAAAAGTATAAATATGTGAAGTAAAGATCAAGACACTGTCCTTTTAATTGTCTAGTTTAAAACAGGCTTTAACGACATGTTTTTATTCCTTCCCCGTTCAAATAGTAATATAAAACTAATATTCTTTCAGTATCGTAGTATCTTACGCTGCAAGGCTGTGCAGTTACTTCAGGATAATTCTACTAGAAATAGGGATGTACATCTGAGTAAACCAGTTTAAGCTTGAGCTGGGCTTCTTTCAGATAAACAGGGTGCTTGAGACCAGCCGAGCAAAATTTAAGATCTTCAAAGGTAAGCTTGAAGAAACCGAACTTCCCCGACGCTGACTCCTAATCCTCCCACGCCTGTGCCTCTCTTGAAAAAGGGGCCGCCGCGCATTCATTCCAAGTCGTCGCTTTTTCCGCTCGCTTGCTAGAACCTCCAGAACCTCGATGCTCAGCCTGAAACGACGCAGCCCCGCACAAAAGGCAGCGGCACTAAGAGGGTTAATGTTTCCTGTTTGCTTTTTTTGAGCTCTCCTCTCCCCCTCCTCCTCCTCCTTTCCCTCTAACCACCCCCTCAGCGCTCAGGCGGAAGTGAGTTCGCTCCTTTGGAGATTAAAAGGATTCCGAACTCTCGATCGGTTTCAATAACAGGCGTTCCGAAAGAGGCGGACCAGGAATGCGAGCATCTCGGCGCCCTGCAAAAATCAGGCTCACCTAAATCGGGGAGGGGGGGAGGGAGGGGAAAGGCTTTTTTTTTTTTTTTAGAAGTGCAAAATCCAGAGCAACGTAGGGAGAGAGAAACCACCCATTCACCGGCACGATGGCTCCGCTGGAATCGAATGGGCTCTCCATGCTCCTGCATGACTGTTGTTAATTTAACCCTCGGCCGGCGGGCCCCCCCTCTCCCGCGGGATAGATTTTCTTGATAACAACGTCGGGGATTTTTTCATCTTTGGAGCGTCAAATAAGAATTTCGTTTTTAACTATTTCTTTTCCTGGAAGACCACGCGAAGAGTTGAAATGACAAAGGAAATGTGATCGCACTGGTTACGGAGCGAGCAGCAAAAGGAGTTGGAGGGTGCTGCCGGACCGTAGGCCTGGGGAAAGCGTTGCACCGCTGTTCCAGTTTGTGCAAGCGAACCTAATACGCCCCCCATGAATAATTCAGGAAGGCCGGCCGGAACCTGCCACCACCGTCCTTTTCCCAGGCGGCTCCTTTCACCGGTTTAAACGCGTGTGCGCCCAAGCTACAGGAAAGAGCGAGACCGCGTGCGCGCCGCTGCCGCCCTCGCTTTAGTGGCGGCAGCAGCAGCAGCAGCGAAGAAGAGCCGATTCGGGAAATCCCGAGAAAGAAGAAGGGACCTGATCGATGCGCTCACTCGGCTTCCCGGGGGATCCGCTTGGAGACCTGGGAAAGGCGTGGACCCGCGAAGAAGACGACCTCTCGAGCGTAAGATCGCGCGCTCGTTCGTTCATTCACACGCATCACCCACCCACACTCCCTTTTTCTTTAGGACGCCCGCCTGCCCAGAGAGCTGCTGCGCCGGAGGGATCGCCATCGCTGCTTCCCGCTTCCAAGACATGCGGTGGTGGAGCCCGCAGGGGCGGATCGGTGCCGGAGGAATCTGCCGGGGCAACTTCCGTGTCTCCCGAAGC